ATTAAAATACACGTGTGTGTGTCGAGGGACCAGAGATCCGTGTATTTCAACGTTACACCGTCTTTTTTTTTCTTTGGTATAATCTGTACGATACAAGTATCTGACTATCTTTTTTATTTGATAGGTAATACACGAAATGTGAACTTGAACGAAAAGAACTTTACAGTGTAATTTTTATTAGTGAACGTAATTGATGATAGAGATGTGCATCGTTTCGCTCCAAATAGAAGCGTTCCACGTACAGTGAATGATTTTTAATGTGCGTCTGACGCCTCTTGCGAGACGTCTCTTTATTTCTGACGCACATCGTCGTCGAGAAGACGTACAGCTACGTCGGCGTCATGTTCACTTCCGCTTGAAAGTCCTTGGAACACTTTTTGTTTTCAATGTTCAATATTTATCGCGGGTGGTTAAATTTTCAAGCTGTCACATTTTACGCTAGTCAATTCAATTACAATATTTACAAGTCGCGTGTATCACAATGTATCAAATTTTCAAGTTGTACATCTTACAGTATAGTTATTGATACGTCAACGCTTTGCAAATTCTTCGCCAATTTCAGTATCGAGACTAAAGCATCTTTTCTTTTTTATTTATTATTTAATTATTATACGAGAGATTTGTTATTTATTTATAATACATAAATAAGTAAATAATATAATACATATAATTATAATTATAATTATAATAATATTATTATAATTATAATATAATATATTATTATAATTATAACATAATTATACATATTATTATTATTATAATTTAGTTATACACATATTATTTATTATTTAATTATTTTCCTGTAATAATCTTCCAGTTCATTGGTTTTTATACCAATGTATAAATTACCATAGTATAAATTACATTTCTTCTTAGTTGTAACGGACTATCCGGTTGGATTATCAATTATAACATTAACATGGCCATAGTCATACATAATGAATGCTATCGTCTATCTTAATGACATTTATAAAAAAAATAAAATATCTTTCTTAGATTAGGGATGATCGACTTCGCTATGTCTGACAATAGGAATAGCAAAAAAAATCACTCGTTATGAATTTATCTTATCGAGGCGTATAGTACAAGACTTTTCAGCGAGTGTGTACAAGTACGCGTGTACAAGAACACGTGTAACGACGATACACCGTTGTTCCTGTATTAAAAATTATACGGATTGAGAACCGGATTGTACACGTGTATACTCGTACACGTAAAGTAGGAACTTCTCTCTGCCTGACCAGCCAACAAGTTTGGAACTTCGTCACATCCTGGTCGTTCCTCTTCTTCTTTTTCTTCTTCTTTTTCGAATTATGACCGGTCGATCACTGATGATTTCGGTCTTTATATGGAATACACAAGGTCGCTCGATCGTTGCCCGATAAAATCGGTCGTAAGAAGACCGAATGGTCGGGTCGATGGATTTTTGGAAATGCCTGAACCATCGCCAGAGACACGCACGACACAGTGAAAAATTGAAGTAAGCAGCAACGAAGTTGCATCACAAGCCGGTCAAAAGCGTGTTGCTTCGTTGCGAAACATACCGTGATACATATTACGTGCTCGCTGGATTTGGCGATCGGACAGAAACGGCGCGCGACATCGAGCGTGTTCTTCCCTGACAATCAAGAGCTCTCTGAAAACGTACGTCGCCACGCGTTCGCGATCAAAATGACAGTGAACTGGTTTACGTGAGAACGTAAAGATGAATCAGTTCGTCCACTGTCGCAAACGGGGATGATGTATTTTTAAATGCGATTTTTCACTCGCGGATTTTACCTTGGACCGTGAATTTTCGAAAATTGGCGCGCGGAACTTGAATTTCATTACTGACGATTACACGCGCGGGAGGAGCAAGTATATTTCCTGAGAGAAATTAATGACTTTTTGGCATGTTCATATATTTATGTACCTTTGGGATTTTTCATAACTACGAAAAATTATAGGAACGATCGTGCGATAAATCGGGGGCGAGTCGCGGCGGGAATCTGAAATAAAAGGAAAACTCGTGTTTAGAAAATATTTTTTCATTGCCACTTGCTCGTCTAACTTTTAAATATAGTTATTTGGTTATATATGGATGATCCTAGCAGTTTATATTAGATCGCTAAAAGTCAAGATATGTATATTCGATTCGATGTTGTATTTGTCGTTGACTGATGGTACTGATTAGTAACGAAATTGAATTAAATTAAAAATTTCAAAATTAAAGTAATTAAATCCGAAGTGCAATAACTCGAATTTAGATTCATATTTTGAAAAGAAGAGTTCTTAAATCTTATACACATATATACGTTTCCTCTCGTCAAAATATGAATCTAAATTCGAGTTATTGTTGAAATATATACGCACACTCTAGATTCGATATTATTTGCGCAAACAATTATGTATGTCTCGCGACGAGAAGCAAACGATCTATTATAATTGCGCGACTCGTGTTTCACTCTCTATCTACGAAACCAAACTATACACGAGACGATAATACGAAAATTAAAAAACACTGTAGCGCAGTTCTAGCTTGAAAATACAAACACACAAATGGCAGATATAATTAAGAAATTTCGTCGTCGTCAATATTTCAGCAGCGATCATTGCCATTTTCATTGTCAAACGATAAAGTTGCAGTACATATCGTTTTTCAGAATTGTAGCACGGAACCGGTTAATTCACAAACAACGGTTAGGACACGGTGCGCGGTATTGATATAACAAAGAGTCACGTAGCTCGATATTAATAATACATTTGACTCAGTATCGGATTCGAGTGAACTCGTCGGCAAATGTCGTCATTCCGTAAGAAGGAGGAAGCGTTCTAAGCGACGGCACTTTGTCGAAAGTTCCCGACAGATGGGACGATTCCTCGAGTACGTGGAACGAGAAGCGACTCGAATAATAAAGGCGTTGAACAAGAATCCAAAGTGGTGTACCTTGCCCCGGGGATATACTTGGCGAAACGTAAATTTGTCGGGCCGCCGAAGTTCTCGAAGAATTCGGATTCTAATTGAGTCGTTAAAGGAAATATTGTACGGATGGGAAGATTTGCTTAGCGATCAATTTTTTGATTGACACTGAGCGAAAGGTAAATGAACTGTTTGTATTTCGTGCAAGTTCAACAAGGATCGTACACACGTTTTAAGTCTTTAAATCGATCGTGCTTCTCTCTCTCTCTCTCTCTCTCTCTCTCTCGGTTTTTCTTCTCCTTGAAACGCATTTCGCGAACATGATCATATCTATCGGATGATTGTTCGTCACCGTTGGCCAAACTAACGAAACCTTCCTTCGACTTTTCGATCATCGATCAAACGCAGACACTTGTTAATGTCTACGTTTTTCTGCATTGTAATATTTACATTTGTCAATACTGTGTTTCCTCGATAGTCACATTTAAATTTCACAACGTCATTCACCGTCATTGTAATCAATTTTGAAAGCACGCATTAAGAGTTTCTTTTTTTTTTTTTTTTTTTTTTTTTTTTTTTTTTTTTGTTTGTTTGAATATAATGTATGTATACGATCAGATCAAATTATAAATAATTTATAGATTTTAAAATCGAAAAATTTTGTATTCTTTTTTTCTCTCTCCTTCGTTTCTTCGCTCTTCAACCTTCGCCCGGTTGTTTGATTGGCTCGTTCGAGATCGAAACGTGGAACGGGAATGCATCTTTAGCAAGTCACGCTTGATATTTCAAAGATGAGGCTATTATACGCGTCGCTTTACTTAGTCGATATGATTTCAAACGATTTCTGCAACTTTCACTTTTCAACAGGACATTTTCTAATCGTACAATCGAAACTGATGTTATCGTGAAAAAGTGGAGTTGCGTACGCGAGCTGGCAATTAAAAAAAAAAAGTAACACAAATCAGGGAGTATAAAGGGAAAAATACCCGTATGAATTGGAAGTGAACCGGTCGTCGTCGCAGTTTATGATTTTGAAAAGACATTACGTATACGCGTGAAGTCAAAATATATTTCACAAGCGCTTTAAAACCGCGGCATCATAATCTCAAGAGATGGTTGTAATTTGAACGTAAATACGAAGGAAATAGGAAACGACATTTTAACCATACCATAGTGATATACGTACGTATTTAGACATAATGTGCAAAGAGGATTAAATTCAACGTGAAAACACGTAGGAAATTGTTAAACAAGAGGACGCACGACTCATCCTTCGACGAATCTTTCAATCTCCCCCAAAAGAATTGCTTCACACGATGGCAATTTGACCATCTGTGCACATACTTTCTCATCAAAATCAGCTCGTAGGGATTAGCATTCGAAACAAGTTCCCTCGGCGTGTGTACTTACGATTCACTTACGAAATATGAATCTATTCCTCGTTTCGAACGATACTCGAACGTGAAGGATTAGCGAACGAAACGGAGTGCAACAACTTTTGCTCTATAAGCGCACGATTCAGCCACTCTACGAAATATATACCAACAAAATTCTCCTCTTTTTTTTTTCAACAAGTTTTGCTCGAAAAACTTGGAGTCACGTTCTTTGGCGGCGAAGAACGAAGCGAGTGACGAGCGAGTCGAGTCTTCTCTCGAAGGAGATTCTAGGTGAAGGAGGAGGAGGAGGAGGAGGAGGAGGCTGGTAGGTGAAATAATCGGCAGGTAGGAAAGAAAAGCAGAAAGATCGCGAAGGGCGGCAAGAGGTGCGCGACGAATGTTGTCCGCAGTGTCCATGAAGGTGGCCGGTCTCGCGTCAAGAGTCGAAGGATCGCAAAAGGTAGAAGGGATGCGATACCAATATGGCGGCTCGTTTAAAAGCAATCCGCCAGCGTAACCGCTGTCAGTCCGCAACTTGGCACGGCGGCAGCGCGTTCGTTCGTACGGATATAATCGGCGTCGCATACAAAAGCGCGAGCGTAACTCCGTTTTCCCCTTTTTTTTTTCTCCTCTTGTTTCTTTAGTTTCCTCTTTCTTTTTTTTTTTTTGTT